CTGCTTTAGCTGTGACCTGCAAATTTTGATTGTATTTTTATTCAGTTCCATTATGTTTTTCCTTGAGACTGTCTGACCCATGGATAATTTAGAAGTATGTCATTTAGTTTCTAAATGTTCAGAGATTTTCCTGTTGTCTTATATTACTGATTCCTAATTTTATTCCCTTGTGGTCGGAGAACACACGCTGTATGATTTCAGTTATTTTACATTTGTTGCAGTTTGCTTTATGGCTCAGGATATGGTATACCTTGGTATATATTCTGTGGGAAATCAGAAAAAAATGTGAGCTCTGCTGTAGTTGTATGGTGTGTTCTATAAATGTTGATTATATTCTGTTGTTTTATGGTATTGTTGAAGTCTTTGTGTTTGCCGATTTTCTATCTAGTTGTATCGATTGTTGAGAGAGGGGTATTGAAGTCTCTGACTATAACTGTGGATTTGTTATTTCCCCTTTCAGTTTGATCAGCTTTTTCTTCACCAATTTTGCAGCTCTGTTGTTTGGTGGATACATATCATATGCTATGTCTTCTTGGGGAACTGATCCTATTATTATAATATAATGTTCTTCTCTGTTTCTGGTAATTTTCTTTCTTTTGAAGTAGATTTTATCTCTATTAATATCACCATTCCTGCTTTCATTTGATTAATCTTATCATGCTCTATCTTTTTCCATCCCATCTCATGACACATCTGTATCATTATATTTGAGGTGAGTTTCTTGTAGATAGCCGGGTCATTTTTGAAAATCCACTCAATTTGTCTTTTACTTCGTATATTTAGGCCATTTACATTTAATGTAATTATTGATATGGTAGGGCTTAAGCCTGCCATTCTATTTATTTATTTTTATTCTGTTTGTTCTGTGTTTTGTTTTTCTGTTTTATTTTTCTTGTCTTCCTGTGGGTTACCTGAACAGCTTTTAGAATTCCAGTTTGATTTACATATAGTAAATTCCTAAAGGATGGTTTCACGGAACATAAGATTCTGGGTTGACAGTTTTCTTTCAGCAATTAAAAAATGTGCCACTGTCTTCTGGCCTCCATGGTTTCCGTTGAGAAATATGACATCATTCCAATTGTTTTTCCCCTATAGGTAAAGTGTCATTTCTCTCTCAATGCTTTCAAGATTGTTTCTTTTTCTTTAGTTTTCAGAAGTTTGACTACAATATGTCTTGGTATGGGTTTCTTTCGGTTTTCCTGTTCATGATCACTCAGTCTCTTAACATCTATAGGTTTATGTTTTTTCCAACTGTGGGAACTTTCCAGCCATTATTTCTTTGAGTACTTTTTCAACTCTGCCCTCTTTCTCCTCTCCTCCTCAGACTCTGATGACGTGAGTGTGAGATCTTTTGTTAGAATCCCACGGATGAGGCTCTGTTCCAGTCTATTTTCTCTCTGTTGTTTAGACTGTATAATTTTTATCATTCTAGCTTTCAATTCACTGATTCTTTCCACTGTCCTATCATTTCGCTGTTGAGCCCAGTCACTCAGTTTTCTATTTCAACGACTGTACTTTTTAATTTGAAAACTTCCATTGGCTCTTCCTTATGTCTTCTGTTTCTTTGGTGAGACTTTCTATCTTTTCATTTGCTTCAAGGAGTCTCAAGGCTGACGGATTGCCAGGGAGGCCCTGTCACAGAAGGCCTGGAGCTGAGGTCAGGACCAAGCTTCTGTCAGGAGCTGTGACCAACCAACCTTGTTGGAGCTCGATATATCTTAGGTCTCTTATCTTGCTTTCCTCCACTGTTCTAGGTGGGAGGAGGGACAGGAGGAAGAGAAGGTCAAAATGGGAGCTATTCCTCTCTAATGGAGCCCCAGGAGGGCCAGGGTTTTGTCTGCATGCTTGCTACCAAGTTGCTGCCTGGCACATACCAGGCTCTCAGGAAATACTATTAACTGAAGGAGTGAATGAAATGCCCCCCTTTCCTCATCTCCCTGCCATGAGACTCCCCCGTCCCTCTCCTCATGTGTCTTTGACACATATTATTGCCCAGTTTCCATGAAAGCTCGTTGGCTAATGACAACAGTCGCCATAATACCTAGTATACTAGGCTGAACAATGGCCCGCAGAGATACCCAGGTCCTCATCCCCAGGACCTTTGAATAGTACCTTCTGTGGCAAAAGGGACTCAGCAAATGTGATTAATTTAAGGATGTGGAGCTGGGGAGATCATCCTGGATTATCCGGGTGGTCCCTAAATGCAATCCAAGTGTCCTGATGAGAGGAATGCAGAGGGAGATCTGACTACAGCAGAGGGAAGTGGTGTGGTGATGGAGGCAGAGATCGGACTGATGCACTCTGAAGATGGAGGAAAGGGCCACAGGCCCGGGAATACAGGCGGCCACTGGAAGTTCAGAAAGGCCAGGAAATGGATTCTCCCCTCATAGCCTGCAGAAGAAACCAGCCCTGCTGACACCTTGATTTTAGCCCAGCAAAACTGATTTCTGATCTCTAATCTCCAGACCTATACAAGGATAAATGTGTGTTGTTTTGAGCTGTCAAATTTGTGTGATTTGTTATAGCACCAAACTAATATACTAGTATGGATTGCGGGCTTCACCTCTGCCAACTTGAGTAATTCCCACCATGCCCTGGGAAGGAGATTCTGTCATTACCCACTTTACAGATGCAGCAGGGAAGGCTTAGAGGGGACAAGGCATGCCTGGGGTCACACAGCTCGCTGGGGTGGGAGCAGTTCAGGTAGGTTTATTCATCAGCAGCTAAGCTTCTTGGGGGGTACAGGTATGGGTGAAACCCCCTCCAAAAAGTTCCTGGCTCCAAAATACAAAAAATAAAATGGCAAAATTGAAACTATTTAAAAGCATAATCATTAAAAAATCCCTCTCCCTAATTTTTTTTTTTTGGCAGCCTTTGGGTGTGGGTCACTGTGTAACACGCTTGCTGTGGTGAGGAGCCAGGCCTCCCATGTGCTGAGTGGGGCCTCCTGGGTGAGAGCAGCTGCCCATGGGCCACACTGCCCCGCAGGGACAGTCAGCTCAAGCCTAGCTGGCCACTTGCTTCCCTACCACTCCTGCTTCCTGAAAGAGGGGGATCCTGACAGCCGCCCACGTAGCACATTTGCAAACAAATCTGTATGACAAATAATCATGCGGGAATGCTTGTTTACTGGAAGAGACAGAAATTAACAGTACGCTGGAGAGAAGAGGCGCCACCTCATGCCAGTGTGTGTTACGCACCTGCACACGCAGATTCAGCCCAGGGCGTGGCCATCCCCACGTGAGCCCTGGAGGGTGGTTCTTATCATCGCCACCCCCCCTTTACACACAGATGGCCCAGATTTGCAATGCCCAACAGTGTCGAAATGTGTACAAGCAGGAACCTGGCCCCAGGCGTCCTTGAGGTCCTGGCCCAGAGCTCTTCAGGCCCATCCTGTGCTCCTGGGGTGGCAGTGGGCCAGCCAGGGGGAAGCAGCCTCCCCTGTTCCCTCCCAGCGCCAGCACAGGTGGGCAAGGGGCATCCCTACTCAGAGCAGGAGGCCATGAATGGTGACTAGGAGGCCGCCCAAGAGTCCCATGGCCCAGGGGGCAGGGAAGCTGTGGGGTCACCTTACCGTCCTCGCTGAAGACGGGGGCGGTGTACAGGTAGTGGGTGATGCTGGGGTCTTGCTCGAAGGGACACTCCACTTGTTTCCATGTGATAAACTCTCCAACCTGCTTGGCCAGCTCCAGAAATTTCTGCCAGGGTCAGAGACACAGAATGGAGGCACCCCAGTGCCTGGAGGTCCCTGTGAGGGTGAGTGGTCGGCCCCAGCTAAGTCTCTCTCCCAACCAGCAGGGATTTCAGGGATTGGGGAGGAAGGCGGGTGGTAAGTGGGGGAGGCAGCAGCCTTTGCCCACAGCCTTCTCTAGCAAGAGTGAATCTTTTATTTTCATTGCATTTATTTTTGTGGTTATCCCCTATTTATAGCCAGTGACATGTGTTTATCTAGAGAATAATGCAAATACATTTAAATGCATTTAAATAAGATGCAAGCAAATTCTCTTATGTATAATGTAAAAACATTTATTTAATTTTTAAACAGTGTGCCGACTTTAAGAAGGATTTAAATAAATAGCAGCACAGTTGTGCTTGGTGGGGAGCCCTGTTCCGTGGCATCCCTTGATCTGCCCTGGCAACTAGGTCTAGCCCCTACTGCTGCTCCCCGAGGCCAGGGCCACATGAGCTCCTTGCAGCCTCACCCACGCCTGGACTCTGCTCTGAGAAACAATTCAGGAAGGACAAAAGATGGGGTTTCCCACACCTGGCTGTGTGCTGGTGTCACCTGGGGAGGAGGCTCCCAGGCCACGCAGGGTCCTACAGTCTTGCCTAAGCCCAGTCTCCTCTGCGTCGCCTCCAGCCTGGGCTGACTTGGGCGTGCATCAGCCTGGCACTGCCTGCGGACTGGACTTCCCCCAGCTCTGCGGGCCTCGGGAGTCACCAGCCCGAGGGCAGCACGAGATGGTCTGCTGGGTGTCCATGCGGGCGGCAGCTCCAGGCCGAAGGACCCAGGCATGTGCTGCTGTCCCTGTCCACAGAGCCCTTGGGGGCCCCACTGCACATCTACTTTTCATAGCCCCTCTGTGTGGCTGGGATGGGAGCCCCGTTTTACAGAGAGAGAGACTGAGGCTCAGAGCAGCAAGCGACTGGCCCAGGACTTACTGCCCCTTGGAGTGGGAGGCTGGGTGGGGCCTCACATCCACCTGTGTCCCTGCTGAGGCAGCACCCCTCCTTCCCACAGATTGGGGGTGCTACTGCTGCCTCGTGTGCTCTGTCTGCCCAGTGCTGCCTAGCCCACAGCCACACGAGACACTTGTGCTGGGCGGGCCCACTGCGGGGGTCAGGACACACTGGACCAGCTGACCTTGCTTCTGAGGAGCTCGGGGACTCGGGTGTGGTGACCTAGCAAGGGAGGCCCAGCCTACTCCCCTGTGGGACACCTGACAGGGGGCTCTCTCCACCTGGTCAGTGGAGGGGACTTCCTGGAGGAGGGGACACTTGAGCTGACAGCATTAAGTGTCTTTCTTTCCTTCTGACCATTCCAGCCTCTGCGTGATGACCCCTCCCGCTGCTCAAGGCGCTCCGTTAGGGCCTGCCCTGAGCCTGTGCGCTGGGCCCCTGTGCAGCCTGTCACAGCGGTCACTCACTGGCCTGGCGCTCTCCAAGGGATGGATTGATTCTGCTTCCCCTGAGCTGGGGACAAGGCCTAGCCTGGAGTGGCCAGTGACATGTGCGTGAGCCTCGGTCTCCCCAGCTGGCGGAGCGCGGGGTGCCGGTTATCCCTGCCCTGAAGGCGGCTGTGAGCTGCCGCACTCCGCCCGAGTCCCCTGTCAGGCGCCGGTGCTCCTGCTCTGGGAACTTCTGCTGGCCTGTCTGACAGCGGCAGTCCCGAGGTCCCGGGACCCTACCTCGAAGTTGACGTGTCCGTTGGGGAGCCGGCTGGTGCAGCCCTCGTGGAGGAAGTAGACGTCTTTGATGAGCAAGCTGAAGAAGGGAATGACGACCTGGAAGGGAGGGGCGCCGTGGGCCTCGGCTGGCCCCCGCAGCGCTGCCTGCGGGCAGGGAGGCAGCGCGGCCAGCAGACGCCGGCCCTGGGTGCTGCGGCCTGGGATGCAGCGGGCGGGGAGACTTCAGCGCAGGCCAGAGCCTGGGGCTTCATGAGCTCTGAGGCTCACGAGCGCATCCTGTCGGGGCGACGTGGGACCACAGAAAGGCGGCACAGGGCGGGTAACCCGGGCCAGCTGCCTCCTCCCAGCCGGGTCAGATGCTCTCCACTCTGGGGCTGGGTGAAGGTTGAGTATCTCTCCCCTCGCAGTTCGTGTGCGCTCAGATCTGTGTGGAACAGGTGTGAGTCATCCGTTCTGGTTTGGGGGCCAACTTTTTTATTTTTAATGTTTTTAACGGTTTGTCACCCTGTGTCTTTCTTGACGCTAAAGAGCCAATCCTGATACCCTTTGGGGCGGGAGCAAAAGCAAAAGCATTCTTGCTGTGCCGCCCCAAGGGAAGGCTTGTGAATCCAGCCTGTGAGGACTGGGAGTCACGTGTGTCCCCAGGCTCCGCACCTGCAGGCTGCCCCCCAGAGCTGACCGTGCAGACCACCCTTGGGGAACCCGGCTGGGCCTACCCTGCTGCCATGGGTTGAACTGCAGCCCTCGCGAAGGTGTGTTCAAGTCCTAACACCCAGTGCCTGCATCGTGGACACTATCTGGAGACACATAATGAGACTGAGGTCACACTGGACAAGGGCTGGCCCTAACCCAGTGACTGGTGTCCTTACAGAAAGAGGGAAGTTTGGGCACACAGGAGGGCAGGCCATCTAAAGGCGGAGGCAGAGATGGGAGTGATGTGGCCACGGGCCAGGGAATGCCTGGGGCCCCCAGAAGCTGGGGGAGGCGGGAAGGATCCCCCTGGAGCCCTTGGAGGGAGCGTGGCCCTGCTGACACCTTGGTGTTGGCCTTGTGGCCTGCAGAGCTGTGAAACTGTGAAGGAACGCATTCCTGGTGCTCTGAGCCGCTGCACCTAACACACGCTCTGTCCTCGGCATCCAGAGCTGGGGCACGTGCTGCCAGTCCAGCCGGGCCCGACCAGCCCGTGATCCCTGGGAACTGGGTCCCGGCGCCGGCATTTCTGGCTCAGAGAGTGCTAGGGTCACCCCCACCCCAAGTTAACAAAGTCTTCGAGGTGAGAGCCTGGACTCTGACAACTCTGCAAAGCACGAAAGCAGATGGCCCACCTGAGCAGGGCAGATAGGGAAACTGAGGCCCAGAGAGTAGCAGGGCCTGGCCCAAGGTCACCCAGGTAGTGACTGCCAGGGCTAAGACCAGATCCAGATTTGGCAGGGCGACCAGCTGCCTGGTCTGCTCAGGACTGAGGGACTTCCTGGAAGCAGGACCTTCCGTGTGAAACCCGGGACAGTCCTGCGCAGACCGGGGTGAATGGTCACTCCAGACTTACGTCAACGCCACAGACATTTGCACAGGTCCTTCCTGTGCCAGGTGCTGGGGCTCGGGGGACACCGAGGGCGTCAGACAAGCTCACTCCTGACCTCAGTGTAGTGGGAATAACAAAAACGAGGCGGTGTGGTCTGGGAGGTCTTTGCTCGTCCCCTCTC